TCACAGCTCACCTTTACTTTCTCACCCTGCAGCGTCAAACTCATCAATCCATACATATACAAGACAGCACACACTTACAGTAAGAAACCGCATTCGAACAAGCAACAGCGGAAAATCTCTGCAGCGTACATGTTTGTATGCACATATTCAATCAGATTCAGAATCGCATGTTTCCATGGTTCGATTTAATTAACATAATCAAGAAAATCATATATGCTGTCTGGTCTTCCTTATTGATGGCACATCTGAATATTCCACCTGCAGAAAGTCAAGGGCTTTGTGGGTAAAAAAAGAAAGGAAAAGGAAAAAAATCAGAATTATGTACAGTTAGTCAGCAGTCTGTTCTCCCCATTGTGAATCAGTTTCCATAGCAACTAAATCGGCCCCTTCTAAAGCGGTCTCCATACAGTAAAGTCTCACCGGCTGTCTGAAGTATGGAGACGAAATTTGTTTTTATCAGCCTCACAAATCAAATGCTAATTACTGCTTTATTATCAAAATGATCAAATAATGACTTAGACATTTTTAATTATGTCCTGTAATTATGGCTAGGTTTATAACATGTGCATGTGGGAATGCAGCACAAATTTGTTATGCACGTGTGTATGTGTGTGGGCGTTCTTGTGTCCTTCAGTTCTAATCTTCAGGATTAAAGTCTTTGTTTAGACACGTCTCTGTCTATGAAAGCTCATATTTCACATAGAGGAATACCGGGGCTAGTTGTCACAAGGGCTACCTCTCAGTAGGGTAATTGTTTTAATATGTCGTTTCAGATTTCTCCAAATGTGTTCCGTTGAAGAAACAAAATAATCTATATCTTGGGTGGCCTGAGAGTCACTACTTTTATTTGGGAAATGTTCATTTTTGGGTGAATTATTCCTTTAATTGGAGTTATTATTTTTTTGTGATTTCAAATTTCTGTAATAGCTGCATTTCTGTAAAAGGACGCAACATAAAACTACAGGGGCATAAATTAAGATAAAAGGTAATCTATATAATCAAAGTAGGTTTAAACCAAAAGGATTTTTTTTTTCGTGAGCATCAGGTCAGCAGCTTGTCAAATATGCTCTGTTTAAAAATATTCCAATTACAATTCAATCTGCTGGCAAAAACAATGGCTTGATAGTTTTAATAGTGTGTTACCTATTATATTTTTGATGTTTCATGAATTGTTGTATTTTCAAAATGTACCTGAAGAGCCATTAAATAGGCAGTAATAGGCTTTTAAAAGGCAGGTATGATAACGGCGCACACGTCTGAAAAACAATTTGCAAAAATTGTAGAGGTGCAACAGCGTATCACTGATGCAGTACCCTTAAAAGGTCAACTTTGTAACTTATCTACCCCTAAAAGATGCATATGAGTAGTAAAATATACGATTACGTTACTTTTAGGGATAAAAAGGTACAAAGATGTGCCTTTAAGGATACTCCTTTAGGTTATATACCTAAAGGTACATTTTTGTACCCCAGCACTGCTATTAGAGCATGTTGTCACTAAAAGTGTGTTCAGCGAACTGTATCTTTCTTCTTGGACAATCGCGGAGGAAATAGCCTTTTTGTAGCTGAAAATGTAAGGCACTTTCCTATACAGAAATGGACTCTGGAGTAACAAGTGTGACAACTAATCCCAGTCTCCTCTATATGATTCTCACAATGTGGCAGGAGGAAGATTTAGACATTAATACATTAATTTCCTTCAAGCAGAGAGGCAGCGACTTCAAGGCCAAGGAGTCTCAGAGGAACAGCCCTGAGCCATCCATTGCCCTCAGAGATAAATATGACAGCTGTGCCAGCATTCACATCTCTCAAATTATTTACAGCTTTTCACATTACACTACAAAAATGTGTCTCTGAAATATAGCAAAAATATTCCTGATGCTGAGCAAAAACAGAACGTGTTAAGAAAAATTACTTGAAGCTAACATAATTATAGCCACAAGAAATAATAATGTTTTGAATATTAAGTAATTTTTGTAAAAAAAAAAAAAAAAACTGCATTACATTTATAGTGTTTGTCATTCAGTCTTTTGTAATTTGCATCTTCAAATGATGTAATAACCTTGAGATGTAAATTCTTAAAGATATATAATCTTAAACAAAAGCACTTTTGAGATATATTTTATCAGTTGATGTGTTTCCAGGGAATCAAACATTTGACCTCAGCATTGTAACATTGTTCTACCAGCTGAGCTGCAGAAATGCTGGTAATGACATGATGAATTAAGACTATAAAACTAGATTTATGATTAAAGCATTGTTTGATACAAGCCCACAGCAAAAGACTGCATCTCAGAGGGTTTTTTATTTATTTATTTATTACAAATTTCCTCAAACAAGAATGTTCAGTTATCTATAACTGTCACTGCTTGGAAAAAAATTGTCAAAAACTTGTTGAAATATCACTCAGAAGTAGATCGGAGTTATTTTTCTAGATAAAATGTTCGAAATACATTCCTTTAAGTTTGAATACCTTATGCTGATTTTAGTTCTCAAATAAATGTTTCTTGTTTTAAGTATAGATATTTTGGTGAATTAAACAAATATATGAATTTTTTTTTTTTTGCAGTGTTGAGAGTTTCCAATCACTTCTCCCTGTCATGCAAATTACATCTTAAAGGGTTCTTTCTCCAATTTTCAATTACAAACTTCATGGCTTTTCCCCCAAACTAGTTTCCCTACACAAAAAAATATAATGAGATTCAAGATTGTTTGTGTTTTGACAAAAGAACATGACACAGATTTGCCTGACGCTAAGATTGTGGTTGCAAACAATTTCGATATACTTCTCTTTAAGCCTCTGTGTGACAGAACAGTTTAAACATTTAAATATAATTTAATTAAGATAAATCCTATTGAAGAGTATTATTTACTGAATGATTGTAGCATCTGTGAGTGCTTTTTTTGTTACATTTTATCAGATGCCTGATTAGGCAGTTATTGTCACTAAACTGTCCAGGTCAACATAATGGTGGTTAGACCATGTCGAAATAGTTAGACCATAGAAATAGTTATTTAAAACTAAAAACTTTTTTGTTCCTTTTAAAAAAAAATAAACTAACTTAAAATAAAATATTTTCTAAAAACCTGTTTAATTTCAGCTAGTTGCCCAAGAAACTCATTTTCATTTAGTTTTATTTATGTACTAAAGTAACTAAAACTGGAATAAAAAATAATAAAAACTATATAGACATATTTTTTTAAAAATGACCAAAAAACGTTAACTAAAATTAAAATGAAAAATAAAAAATAAATCAAACTATTAATAAAAACATATATAATAGTATATATAGTACATAATATAGTATTGTAGTATAGTAAATAATAGTAAAAAAAGCCAAATATAATAGTAATGATACTAAAATAAATTATACTAAAATAACACTGGGCTAGATTCAGTTACAGTGAGTAGCGTGGAATATTAACCATTTATGCTTGGAAGAGAAATGTATTTGCATTATTCATTGACTTTTTATTTTTAGATCTTGGCTTGTGGTTTGAGAATTCCAGTTTTATTTCTTGTGCTTTCAGCAGTGCGAGTAAACAGGGCAGCTCGGTGCAACCGTCCCAAGGGGTCTCACTAAATCAAAAGGGAGGCACTGCTTCATCCCCTCAGGACCACACACTGTGTGTCAGCGAGATACAGGAGAGAATTGGGCCCAGCTGCATGGTCAATTACTGTTCAGAGCAGCCAGATAGTAGAGTTTACTGTTATCTCACACCACAGAGAGAGAGAACAGGGAGAGTGTGAGATAGGGATGGAGAGGGAGTCGTGATGATAATGATGGTTAGTGCTATAGGTGTGTTAGGAAGAGACTCTAAAATGGACAGGAGGGAATGTGGAGCGAGTAGGGCAAAATGACGGAGAGGGAGCAATGACAGAGATGACAGAAACAGGTCAGGCAGAGCACCTCTGTGGCAATGGAACCGAACACTTGATGACGGTCACCATAGAAACAGATTATCCCTTTTGGAAATATAAATTGTTCTAATAACTGTCAGATGTTGGAGTGTAGCGGTACCATTTTTTTTCTGGTGGAAGCTAATGTGTGCGAACGTTCCTCCCAAACGCAGAAATGAAATTTGTCGGCTCGAAGTCCTCAACAGTATCTCTCCTGCAAACATCTCAAATCTCCTCTCCTCTGGCCCCTACTGCACTGAGGCACAGAGGTAGACACAGAACCACACTCCTGCATGGAGACATGGCGATACGGATGCTGGTTTTCAAGGAACCGTCTTCGCAATTGCAGATGGAAGAAAAACGCGCCTTTCTTGTGTCATCAAGAGTACTCTGCGTTCAAGCGTGGTGTTGCTTTTCAATTGGCAATTGTCTTATCTTAGATTCCTTGCTATTGACTGATGTAGAACGCCGTGTTGCAAATCTGTTTGCTTGTTAGGGGCTTCATAAAATGAGCTCTTTATAGTTGAGGCTTTGCATGCTTTAATTAAGGAGGGATGTTCGCTGGTGTGGGTGATACACAGATCTAATGAATTTCCCACAGATAAAGCTCTTGTTTTCATGCAACCAAATGGACCGTGAACAGACGTTCCCGTGGGTGTTGCTCAACAGTAAATGCGCTCGTGTGTGTGTGTGTGCGTGCGTGCGTGCGCGTGCGCACACCGTCAGTAATGCATCTATTAGTTTTAGTCACCCAACCATTGTTGCACAGTACACTCCTCTGAAACAGATTTGCTATTGCACAAAGCTTTATGAAGATTCTTCTTAATGAGCTGCACCATCCCCTTCATTCGCACTTTGTTTAATTCATTTGTTTCTTGTATTGTTCTAGGTATGACATGCCAGGCTCGTACATCGTACACAGAGGATGAGGTTCTGTGGGGTCACCGATTCTTCCCGGTAATTTCCCTGGAGGAGGGTTTCTTCAAGGTCGACTATTCGCAGTTTCATGGCACTTTTGAGGTTCCCACACCTCCACACAGCGTTAAAGAACAAGAGGAAAGTTTGCTCCTGTCCTCGCCTCTGACGGCGCCCTCTCTGTGCCACAGCGCAGGTGGGGTGACGGAGGGCAGCAGCACTCTTGAAGGTCTGGAACTTCAGAGCGATGCAGAAACTGGCTCCATCAATATAACAACCCCCATGCCAACCACCAAAATGCCTGCCAAACTTCAGAAGCTTACGGGACGGGAGGCCCCCATCCGGGACGGAATGCCCCGCAAGCTTCTGCGCATGAGTTCGGAGATCACCTACAATCTGGGTGACCTGCCCGTCAAACTCCAGCGAATCAGCTCGGCTCCGGGCGTGGCAGAAGAGAGGCTTCAGCCAATCAGTGCTGGGCTGAGCCTCAATGAGGACAGACTGGCTCCCAAGCTGGGCTTGGTGGGCGGGGCTGAACACATCAGCCAATCAGTGACAGATCTGCCGCCGAAACTGCAAAGGTTGGCTGGAGGGGTCGGGGTGGGTGGAGTCGGAATCGGAGGACGAATGGATGGTCATCTGCCTCCCAAACTGAGAAAAATGAATTCGGAGAGGTTCACGGGCTTGAGTTTAAAATGAACTGATTTCTATATATGTATACACGTTTTGCCCATTTACCTCCTCTGAAATTGAAATTGAGTAAAAGGGACAATCTATACTTATAGCAATCTTCTATTCGAATTCTATGAAAGAACATTTTCTGTGCAGAGAAAGCTAAATTTAGAAAAAAGAAAAAAGTTTGCCTGCTTTTAATCATCATTGCAGTATGTAACTTTTCCACATGCTTAATAACTGTTCAGATAATAACAACTGAATTTTAAAAAACCTACTCTTCATTCATATTTAATGAAACGGACAAGTGCCACAAAAACACAGACGTCGGCCTAGTAAAAGGTCACGTGAGCTTTCATTTATTTATCATGATTTATTATTTATAACACTTAAGTTGAATAATAAAGCTTTTTTTCTGTTACAAATGGGCAGGTTTGTCCTTTTCATGTACCCCAGTGGCTATGCAAAACATTGTACCGTAAAGCATTTCCCAAGTTATAACTGCAAAAGTCAACTTGCATCTGATACATTTATTTGCTTCACCTTTCAGAACAAAATGAAATGTAGGTGTGAAGTGTGAAAGAGACGATGTGAAATCTGCATGAGAGTTAAGTTAGATATACAAGCTGCAGGGGCTCCACGCAGTTCACCTTAAATGAATCCCTCGATACAACTTCCCTAAGAAACATTAACACATTACCTCTCCACAGGGGACCAATATCCTGAACTTCTATCAGCAGGAAGCTAATTATAAAAGTGTGTGTGTGTGTGTGTGTTAAAAGGAAGCTGGTGAAATTCAGAGAGAATATTATCTTGTCACTAAATGTCAGATTCAGATAAAAAGAAGGGGTTTGTGAATGTCAACCTGCTCCGCTTAAAGAGCATTATTGCTGTGACCTGCTCGTCTCTTCAGAGAGCTCTCAGAACCTGCCATCCCTTTTAATTTATTTTCCCCTGCAGCCCGATGTCAAACGCTCCTTATTTCATTTCATCAGTTCCATACTTAGCGATCTAATCCCATCCTATATAAGATTAGCTAAATTAATGTACTTTCAAATAACCATTAATGAGTTCCTAAATTGTTTCTGCTCTCCGATGGTGAAAATTAAATCCCTCTCATTTAAAATGAACTACTTTGATGATGGAATAGATGGGGAAAGGCTCTTACTCATTAATTATAGATAAACAAAGGCAAATCCTTTAACAACCTCCCGGTCAAATCTTTGCTGTTTTAAAGGTGGTAAGAATCTCCAGACGTCTGGGTCAACTGTACGTGTTTACTGGTTTGCATTAGGTACATAGCAGATCAAAGTAGAAATCTTATACTTCCCAGTTCAATAGCAATTTAACTGTTTAATTTAATTCACACAGGACAAAAAGGGTCCTGTCCAGGGCCACTTTATATAAATCTTGAGGTTGGCACAGGATGGCACTTGCCACAGATAAATAATGGCTTAAGGGCTGGATGGACGTGAGGGCAGCATCAAATTGTAGGAACAGGATGCTCTAGCCGTGTGGATATTCCCTGCAGGGACAGGGACAATGTGCTGTCTGTTCTGAGGTGTGTTTCAGAGAAAGTGTGCCATTTACCAGCTTGTTGTATCCGGGTGATGCACTTGAGACAGTTTGTGGCAGATCATCCATTCAATTTAACACTTGAAAGTTACTACTAGTGTCAAAAATCTGATGGGTTAAGTTAAAATGGGACTACACAGAGTGAACTGACTTAACTGGTGAACAATTGATAATCTGAATTAGATTTATTCCAACATCAAATTAGTTGAATATTAGAGTGCTATTAGTGTTGAATAGAATAAATCTTCTGCAGACTTCAAACCTTGGGAGTCGGCCCTCGTTTCACGTCAGAATCGAAGAATCAATTCTTCTTGCAATCAGTTCCCAGCTGTAAAAAGATCCATAGTGCCTCTAAATACACAAAATACATCTGTTCACATTGTTCATAGTGTACCAGACACAATTTGCAGTGATCCATAACACTCACATATATAAAAAGCAACTAATATCAATGGTTTAATAGACTCTTAAAACGAAGATACTCTGAAGAATGTTGGTAACCAAACAGTTTTGGTTCTCACCGACTTTCATTCTATTTTTGTCCATATAATGGAAGTCAATGGGTACCGAGACTGTCTGGTTACCAACATTCTTCAAAATATCTTCTTTAATGTTCCACAGAAGAAGAAAAACGTCATACAGTAAGTTTATTTCTATAGCACCTTTCAAGAGCAAGTGTCACAAAGTGCTTTACATCAAAATAAAAAAAAAACTGATTAAAAATAGACATCATTAAAAGAACAGATTAGACAAAAGCAAGTTTGAACAAGTGAGTTTTCAGCTGCTTTTTAAAAATGTCCAGGTTTGGAACGACATGAGGGTGAGTAAATGATGATCGAATTTTCATTCATGGATTATCCCTTTAAACTTATTAAAAAGGTTACAGGTCTCAGTTTTTTGAAAAGAGGTCTCGTCAAAATATTAGCAATTCACAAGACGTGAACCCACACTTTGGCTAGCCTATAACAACAGCAACGAAGAGGATGATGAACAGCTAAAAAATAAAACATTTGGTTGTTGGACTGAAAGAACTGTGTGGGTGTTAAGGACAATCCATTTTCTGAGGCATTGTGAAATGTGTTTACCTCGGTGCCTGCAGGTCAACAGGCCTTGACGCTAACAGATACGTGCGATGCACCAGTGTGCACTGGACCACTTTGATACTTCCACACGATTGCGCTTGTAGAAGCTGTTCATGTGGAATCATGGGGGCGTTAAACCTTGTCATGGCCTAACGGCAGCCCTGGCATAATATCTGGAGCCATAATGATAAAATCTCATCACTGTGACAGTTTATGCAACTGCCATTTCCCTCGGCCAGTCTCTCCATCCTCTTCCTCCCTCTTCAGCTCTGCTTGTTCCCCTCACCAAAAGCGTGAGAGAAACCGCCGTTATCACATTTTCTCGCCACCTGCTTTAACAATTGTTATGTGGGAAACACGTCTGTGCATGAGGTCGCAGTTGTCGTGTCACTGGCCATAATAACATCCAATCAGCGCGTCCCCAGAGACGGCAGCCCGTGATTAACTGGTCTGTCACCCATCATTTGACGCGCCATTTGTCAGTATCACTCTGCGGCGCGTTGGGTAGGGTAGTGCTTCAAACTGAAACATTACCGAAGAAGCCACATGCTAAGAGGACTGTGCTATGAATGTTTTAGCAGACGGCGACTACAACGCTACAACAGAAATAGAAACAGCACCGGAGTTGAAGGCAGCCAGCCAGGCACTTGGAGCGGGAGTACAGTATGGGGGCCGTTGCTAGGTAACGCCAGAGCCCCGGGCTCGCGCGGAGGAGCATCCTCGCGCCCCTCTTAGCGGTGCGATGAAGGGAAATAGATTTGCATCAGCACTATCATTATGAGCAGTACCGTCGTCATCCTTAAACGCTTGTTTCATGTTACACGTGCAGACTCATTTCGAGCGGTTGGAAGATACACAGAATACCTCGTTTCGTATTTCACTCTGCTATATCAGACAGAATCATGTATTTCACTCCAACTTGTCATATACACTAGCAGTGTTGGGGGTAACGCATTACAAGTAACGTGAGTTACGTAATCAGATTACTTTTTTTCAAGTAACTAGTAAAGCAACGCATTACTTTTTAATTTACAAGAGAATATCTGAGTTGCTTTTTAAAATAAGCAACGCAAGTTACTTTTTCCCCCCAATTTATTGACTGACAGCTCTCCTGTCCCCATGTTGAGAGAAATCAGAAGATGTAACTGTAGTTCTAAAATAAATAAGAATATGCATTATCCTCCTGAGACCCAGCTATGGAGTTTTTGCCTCTGTAGTGGACATTATATTTGAGTGAATTTCTCTGAGACCTCACATGTCACAGTTGTACGTCTGGATGTCCTGTACAGAGCACATTCAGTGCTTTCCAGAGATGCAAAATGATTGGATGTTTCACCATCACCACTCCCTCTCCTTGGTTTTTAAAAATGGCTGACATTAATTTAGTGATAAAATTGTACATCGTTATGGAAATATGATAATATTTTGTAATTATAATTTAAATCTGATTCATTTTCAAATTGTTTGTCATAAATCAACATCTCAGGAAAATGTTACGGGGTTTCAAATCAAAATATGAGCTTCTGTTATGAAACAGGACATCATTTCATACATGTCCACTGTAGAGGACACCAGGACTAAAATCATGTTTATTATACATTTTGGGAGACAAAAGAATTGAATAGGAAAACAAATTATGTATCAATATTCTTATGAAATATTAGATATTATTATGAAAATCTGGCCAATGACTACTCCCATTATTACACTTCTTTTTTCAACATGCTGTCCCAACAGCACTTTAATATGCAAATTAGATACAGTGTATAGATAACATTGTGCTTAATGGGAAAACCAGTTTATGGAATTTTTCCACACATATTGCATAAAGCAAAATAGTTTATCAAATAATTTTGTTATATATTTTATAACATAGTTGATAACCATCCTTAAACAAAGTTAGGTATAAAAAAATCCTGAAACCTAAAAATTGATTGGCGATTTAAAAAAAAAATTCCCATTGTTTAAGCCTTTTCATGTCTACTCTTGTCATTTTATTTTTAGAAAAACTGAGTCCTGGTGTCCTCTACAGAGGACATATCATAACTTAGGAATAAAATATAATTTTTCAAAAATGTTATTTTACCATTTTTTTCTTATGCTCTAAACAATGTAATGACATGAAAAAATACTAAATACACAAAGCTTTTTATTTCTGGTTCTCAGGAGGATATCTCACTCACAAAAAAAAAACACAGATTCAGTATTCCTCAAAATGAATACATCTCAGAATATGATGCAAACCTGCAATAATTAAATGTTAAACAACACAAATATCCTTTATGTATTTAATCCCATTCTATTAACCAATGTCTTTGCTTCTGACCTTCGATGATCCAGTTCAACCGTACTAATAAGCACAAATTACTCTAGACAAACATTTGTGTGTCTTTTTTATTGCTGAAGTGTGTTGATATTTCTTCTTCTGCATTCTACTGTACGG